TGGCCAAAAACACAAAGTGGATGCAAAAGGGGGGGGGGGGGGGATAGGAAAAAAAGATGACAAATTTTGCCCCCCGTCCCCCAACTCTGAAACGCTTTTAATGTTTGGGTTCTAGGATGTACAGATGAGGGGATGGGGGGGAAGCTGTCATTTCGAGTCCGGATGGGGCAGTTCGAGGTCGTAACGAAAAACGGCACAAACGACGCGCGGTCACTCGGCCACAACCGTTTTGGAGGAGCTCCACAACACACAAACAAAACTAAATAGCACCAAAATCTAACGCCCCGTCCGGCTGGTTACACCCCGCGCACACCGTGGGCAAGTGTCCAGCCTCGTCGGCCTGGGGAAGCGCACGCACCGTGTTCGGCCGAGCAAACTGTGGCCGACACCGAAAAAGAATTTCTATTGCATCCCCAGAATTGTCTCTTTCCTCCCCCCCCCCCCCCCCCCCCCGTTTAATGCAAATTGATTTTTTAAGGGGGAAATTGCAACTGAAGCCAGTGTTTGTTTGTAGTGTACAGTACTTAGAGCACCCATCGAAGACAATTGTACTGAATAAGGGTGATACGCTAAAAAAATGTGTGGAAATGTGACCCCCAAAGTGAAATTCTCAAGGGACACAACAAAAATTAACGTGGCCAAATGAAAATAAAGCACACGTTTAAAAGTAGACGAAGGCGGTGCATGCGTTATTTGCGACTGGATGGAATAGTCGGAGTGCAACGCGGCCTTAATTGATCTCATCCCTCCATGAGTCAGACGACGGCAGGCGATCGTCGATTTAAATTAGTACGTGGAATTACTAATCGCGCGCGATCCAAAGGACTTTTGAATGGGAAAACCGGCGGCGAATCAAAAAGTCAGCGATGCTCACTCGCACAACATGAAATCAACAGGCATGCCGACTCCGACAAACGCAAAGCGTAGCTTGCCAAAAACGACAAATGGTGGGAATTCTGGATCGCTGGATTTTTTTTTATATCGCCTACGGAAAATGGCTCTCCTCGCAGCAGCGATTTTTTTTTTTAACCAACCATCGCTCGCCCCGTGGCCACCGATTCCCACCAAACAAGCCACCGTTGGATTTCGGCGACATTTTAGAATTACACGTCACCAGCGATGGCGGCTCACTTAACAGCTAAAGACAGAAACCCCACCAGGCTGCAAGCAGCAGTGGTGGGGAGGGAGATGGGTTGAGGTGGCACAGGTAGCCTCTGACCACTGGACTCTCCGAACAGAGTGCACCGCAAAGGAAACCAACAGTGCACGGTTACGTTGCCGAGAGCTAGTGGATGCGTAATTGGCCACGATCACGATATTTTCAACTCTTGAGGCTGCCGCCTTCCCACCCCCACCACTGCCCCCCTTTTTCTCCCTTTCCCGGCACCGATGATTTATGCCTAAAGCTGTGGGGGTTTAAAGAGAGCTCCGCTCGACAATTTTTTTTTAGAAACATCCAGGTTTCCCTTCTGCAAGGCCAAGTCAGGTTTTGTGTGCACAGTTCACGAGCCATAGGGCATCTTAACCCTGCCACAAGCAAACACAAAAAAACGCGACGTGAAACCAAAAGCAACGGTTATCAACATTTGGTCACACATCAGCCCGGTGAGAATTGGAAAGCCATGGGTCCAGCATCATAATTGTGGGTCTCGGTAAAAACTTACTCGATGACAAAAAAAAGTCGTGTTAGTGACACACGGAGGAGCGTGTGGTAATATAGCGGGCGTGCAAGGCTTCATGAACTTCACGTTCTCAGAAAGTCACCAAAACTTGGTCACAGAGATGCACGTATTATAGGCTGTGCTACTGTGCAAACCACAATTGCGGTAAGAATTTCGTGGGATTTTTTTTACATGATTATAGTTTTTACGAGAATAACAAAGAAAAACCCCTTGAAAAGCATCTTGTTATCAACGCGCTACGAAACGCTTTTATGCATGTCCTACAGACGCGATACTTAAATTTTTTACAAGGCAAAGTTATTATCCTACTTTTTAAGAAAAGCACAAAAATGTTTGCCCCGAAGCTGCCAAAATATGTTCCATGATGGTTCTAGTTAAATGTGCTTAAATATACATGTATTACATGTACACAAGCCTCGTGTGAATAACAATATATTGTTCATAGTGCAAAGTTAATGCTAAACTTTTACACACATTGATTATTTTTTTGTATGCATTACAGAAGCTAGTTCAGCACACAGACGCCATTTTTGGGGTGAGAAAACAGTGCACGAGGCAGATGTGGCCCAACGGTTCACGCGTTCATGCGAAACATTCCGGGTGGACTGATGACGTTACTACGTTGCTTTGCGACTTTGTCAAATCACATTGCCCTGCGTCGTGTCTTATAAAATTGCAAACGCAATTTCAACAAAGCCACCGCGCCTCTCTCTCTCGCTCGCTCTCATAAAGCACACCATAACGATGAGAAATCACACTACTACCAGCAATTTTCAGTTCTTTGGAAATTAAATAAACAGGGCGTTTAGACTCTAAACAAATAAAGCAACTATTTAGACAATAGTGTACCTTTACTGGTAATACATTCGGCTGAAAAAAGTCCAGATGGTTATCATCTGGATGAAACAGTGCAATTTTCTTCATAGTACAGTATCTTAAAGTTGTAATCGTTCGCCCCCCCCCCCCTGCACTCTCAGCCCCTGGTCTCAACCACTTGACACAACTTCCGCTGCCAAATCACACACACGATGGCTCAAACACCCAAATGTAACGACTACAACTACGCCTTACGAGAAAGTCGATCTAACCTGTATGGCACTTTCTTAACTCTAACTGTTCCTTAAAGAGTGGAACACATCATATACAGTATTATATAATCGCGCGCGCGCACACACACGTAAAACAAGCTATCAGTTTAAATGACATTAGGTGAGAAAGTCCAGTTGCTGGCCTTAGGCTTTGACGAGTAGCCATCACACACACACGAAACACATCTGCTACTTTTGTACTACGCACGGCAATAGCCGTTTTAAAAGGCCTGCACCGCCACAATTACACAGCCCATCAGCCACGACGTGGGGCTCCTCCCCGTTCCATCAACGCTCAACAACGGTCACTGTCATGTACGTTATGCATCTGGTGGCCAGCATAGCTCGAAAAATCATTGGGGAAAAACTAAAAAAGTGCAGCATCACTTTACCAAGAAGCTTACAATATTCCTACCCCCCCCCCCCCGTCCATTGAAAATGAAACGTACACATTATTGCCATGTAATACTTTAAATGTATGTTGCGTGTTGACCTTATATAATTCTAAACATTTCTACCTAAAACTGTCAATTTGATCACAGCAATAAGCAAAATGTACAGTGTGGCTTTTTTTTGATTTTTTCTTGTTTGTTGTTGTTGTCGTCGTCAAAATGAAAAAAAAAGTGTAAAACTAGCACGGTAAACGTAGCGGATCACTACCTGCCTGAATGGCTGTCTCACATCCGGAGATGAGATGCGGGGAAAAAAGCGCAGCCGAGAATCATCGCGTAAACCTCACGAAGCAACTGCTGCCCCACTTTGGTCACCTGCCCGCCCGCCTGCCCGCCCAGCCACCGCCCCCCCCCCCCCCCTTGGGGCTGCTCACATTTTGAAAAAAGGAGGAGAGAGTTCAAGCTCCATCATCATCATCATCATCTCCGATGACGGTGGCAGCAGCGCTCTCTTGTGCTTAGGGGACAACGGCAAGAGTAAAAAAAATTAAAAGACAGTTCGTGGGACTTTGCGTTAAATGCTCCAATCGAGCAGCGCCCCCCCCTCCTCTCTCTGCACTTTGTACCCTTCAATATTTTTTGCTTGCTTATACAAACTAAAAAGTGGAAAATAACATCTTCCCCAGCTTGTTGTCCAGACGTAAAGCTGCCTCACCAGCCCCCCCCTACCCCAGCTAGCTAATCAGAGTCTACAAAGATCCCCCCGCCTCCACCGCCCCCTTCCACCAACTGAAAAGAGCCCTCGGCAACATTTAGGCCAATTTTATTTGGAAGGCTGTCCCCCAAACAAAAAAAGCAACCGCCTAACCGTTCGTAGAGATTTAACAAAAAAATTATGATTCCACGACGGACGGGCGTACGGTGTTAAGATAGGATGGTTTAGTTTGCTGCTGTTGTTGTTGTCGTTGTCAGAATGACCGTATAAACCCAACTCGACGACGCGATAAGAGCAGCCCGCAAGCGCACTGGTGACAAGGAAGCGGTTCTAAATCTGTACGGAATCGACATTCAAGAGATATTATAACACCAAGGCCGCTGAAAAATTATAGCTAGTTAGCAGAGGTTGATATTTTTCCAAAGCGCCACCGCGCGGTACTGGATACGTTCATCAAATGCCCTCCATCCAATCCCGATGGAACTAAATAGATTAATGTGGCCACCGTATTGGGCTGACAGTTTTCACCATCCTGGAAATGTATTGAAGGTCTTCGTACAACGGACTGACGATATACTTACGCGTTCCCTTGATGAGGGAATAAGACGCCACGTGTTTCAGAGCACCTGTCTCATAAATAAACCTTCAATGCAGGCCATCAATGTCCTAGTAGCTTAGGTACTTCAAAACTTCTATATACGTTCCATACGGGACAATCACGTGTACGCGCAAATGCCCGTGGCGCACACACACGCACACACACACGCTACACACAATGGGTCAAACCCTCCCTACTCTCTCACCCCCCCCCCTCTTCAACCCGATCCCGCTCCCCCCTGCCGCTTGCCCTCAGCCCCTCGACGCTTCCCATTGACGAATAACACGGCACCAAAACCAGTCCTACGGGAGAATTATCGTGTTGGCACATTGGAAAGGAAAACATAATTTCCTACATTTCCTTTAGTGTCTCCATGAAGCCAATATGGCTTGGTTGACCTTTCCATTGCTTTTCTAACAACTCCTCTTTCTCCCCAGCCCCCCACCCCCACCTCTTTACCCCCCCCCCACCCACAGAAACACACATTGTCAGACATCCCACCCAAGGGCCCCCTCCCCCTCATAACTAAAGGGGGCTGCCCCACACCTCCCAAATGGATAACGACAGCTGTAACGCTATCTGTTGTCCCGCCGGCGTCAGCTGCAGCATGGATACCACGCTTTGGATATCCTCTTCTGGTACCTACACAGCACACACACACACACAGAAAGGGGACGAGGCATTGCATTAAAGAATGACAAAAAAATTACGTATAGAAATTTATAAATCTAATCATTCTGGTCGAAGGCCTCCCCCCCCCCCTCATGGATGCATCTGTCGTTGGGGTTGTTTGAACCATACTTCACCACGCCGGACAGAGCGGATTGGGGAAAGGGATCGTCGTGCTCAGGACTGGTTCAGATATCGCTCTGCGCTGAAGTTGGCCTTGGCCGGGAATCCATAACTGGTTGCCGGGTTGAAAGCGCATTGCACAATGCACGTTGAACTTCTTTCGCACGGTACATAGCCAACTGTGCTAATCGGAGGTGCGGTGGGGTTAGCTCTACTAACCACTGCGCCACCGACCTGCACTGACCGCTGTGGGGAAGTATGGCCAAATAACACTCATACTTCCAAATGGCACAGGGTGGTGGCCCTCATCCAGCAGTGGATTGACAAAAAAATGGCTGTGCATGTACTTTGCCCGACCAAACACGTTTACAACGTCGCGTAAGCTGACTTCGGCAATGATTTCCAATACGCAGCAAAAATTTTTTCAGATACCTCTTAAAGACACTCGAGACAATTTCACGCATTCGTAAGAACTTGTATAATTCTAAGGTTACCAAATGTCAACGTGAGCTGAAGTCGCCGTGCTATTGTTCGCTATCCTGAAGAGCTGTGCAAATATGAAAATGTGGAGAAAGTGATATGCCTCATAAATCATGCACTGTTCGTACTTGAGTTAACACTTAATGCCAAAGACAAATTTATATTACATCTATGGGCTCGCCAAGTAGTTATCCATCCACTGTGCTGAAAAAAGGTATTGCCTGCATTCTCAATATTTTTTTTTTTGTGTACAGGAAAGAAAGCCACTGGATATGAAGAAAAAAATAGATCTCTAACACAGAGTAGAACTACACACCACGAACATTTGCTATGTATTAAATACTCAAATTGTTGGCAATCCATAAGACTGCGTTAAACTGTTGGCAATCGCTTATGTAAAACAAACACCGCTCGCAAGCTAGTGACAGGGAGATTATCAAGCTGTAAATGTAAACGCGAAGACACAAAACTGCTGTTCATTGGCAGACTTTAAGTTACTTTCAGGTTCAAATTAACAAAACACGGCCTCTGACTTTTAACGAGCAGCCAATCCGTAATCAATCTTTGCGAGATCTGCAAAGCCACTCGGACAGATCGCCCCCCCCCCCCCTCAACCGCCTCGCCCCCCCCTCAACCGCCTCGCCCCCCCCTCAACCCCCTCGCCCCCCCCCTCAACCCCCTCGCCCCCCCCTCAACCCCCTCGCCCCCCCCCTCAACCCCCTCGCCCCCCCCTCAACCGCCTCAACCCTCGCCCCCCCCTCCCCCTCACCCCCCCCCCTCAACCCCTCGCCCCCCCTCAACCCCCTCGCCCCCCCTCAACCCCCCTCGCCCCCCCCCTCAACCCCCTCGCCCCCCCTCAACCGCCTCGCCCCCCCCTCAACCGCCTCGCCCCCCCCCTCAACCCCCTCGCCTCCCTCAACCCCCCCCTCAACTGCCTCGCCCCCCCCTCAACCGCCTCGCCCCCCACCCTCAACCGCCTCGCCCCCCACCCTCAACCGCCTCGCCCCCCACCCGCCCGCCTCGCCCCCCACCCGCCCCGCCTCGCCCCCCCACCCGCCCGCCTCGCCCCCACTGCTTGTTACAACAACAAAAAACTTGGTAGGCATCCAACGCCAACACACCACGATGGGCCCACGGCTGCTGCTGCTGCTGCGTTAACGCGACCCGGACATCTCCTCCGTGATTGGCTCACGTGTCGCGGGGCACAGGGCCCGGCCACAGTGCGGTACAGTGAGCAGCCGCGTGAAGCTGCACCACCACCACCACCAACAACGTGCTTTCTATTTGTATTGAGTTTAGGTTTTTTTTTTATACTTTTTACACAATTCTGGAAAAATTGCCAAATGCAGCTGGATGTTGTAATCACCAGCGTATACGTCGTACTCAAAATTTACTCTCCAACACACAACCTGAAGTTGTAACTAATTGGCACGCTTAGTTTACGTGACAAACCTTACTCATTTAGCTGCGTCGGGTTGGTGGCGGCGGGTTTAACGAGTTATATTTTACACGATACAGCCAAAAAAAAACTTTCTTATTAAAAGTTTTGCTGTCCATTTTAAACGGTGAAACATGGGTTTTAGTTGTGTTGATGACCTACGATCCAACTGAAAAAATCTAGTCACTGGTGCTTGTACATATTCTTAAAAAGCGGAAAATGCCAACTTTGTTCAACGGTGAGCTTGAACGCTAACCCAATAGAGCCACTTGCGATCGCAAACTTTTGGCTGTCAATTTTTGTAAAAGCAAACACTTTTAATTTCTAATAACCTCGAAAAGCCAACCGGGGAAAACTGGACAATGTCGCTTGCACCTATCCTCAAGATGTGGAAGACGCTTACAGTACTAAACACAGTGGATTTAACCCTATACGAGCCATCCGAGATAAAGAAGCAACAAATTTACTTTCACACAAGCTCAGCAAAAAAAACCTGAAATAAATAACCGAATGTGGATTTTTAAAAAAGTAAAAAAAAAGCCATTAGCTTTGTTCTAGCTGTTAACGTCATTATCATTTTTTTTTCTTCAGGAAAAACCGGAGTCACGCGATAGCCGCTGTGAACCGAGGAGGCAGGAACTCCCTAACGGCACGGCCAGGAAGTCCAAACCCTGAGCGCGAGAAGCACAAGCCACGGACGCGCACACACACGGAGTGGGTTGGGCTGCTGAAATGGCAAAAATCCCGGGCACGCACGGGACAAGCCCAGCCGACTTCATTATCACCATCACCGCGCGCTGTGTCACTATTACGGCGTTGTGTCACCACCACAAAACAAGCTGGCACCCCGTTTAAGCCCACAAGTATATGGACCGTGAAGCACTCTCCCGTTGTCTGGAACTGGAAACAGGTGTTGCTTTCATGATTTTCTATCCAAAATGGTAGAATCACTGGAGGTTGCATCATCATCATCTATGTGGGATACGAATCTACGTTTAAAGGGTGGGGATTGAGGGTGGGGGGGAGGGCAAAAAAAATTGTATACAGCAGGGAAAAGTGTTTTTTTCCTTTCAAAAATTGAACTAATTTGTTCTAAAGGTTATCGAAGCGTCACTGGAAAAATGAGACGGGGTCTCTGGCGCGCACGCACGCACTCGTGTGTGTGTGTGTACCCATCGTTAGCGAATGCACAGTGCACGCCCGACGGACCTGGCTTCAAAGGGCTGCCATGAAACTGCTGCACAGTGCTGACCATGCATAAGCCAGGAGCGGGGAGGAGGGGGGGGGAGCTTTAAACCATCAGAACGTAAAATTGACACAGTCAGCTTTCCACCTAATGGATCCTGCTTAATTAACCGCATGATGTACTTTAATTTGTAAAGGTTCAAATGGTAACGTGGTGCGCCTCCCCCCATCCCCCCACTACCCCCTCCCGACCCCCGTAATCGGCTACAGGTCTGGACGCAAGAAATGCAGAAGTCATGGTGTGAGCAACAAGCAGAAAAGCTCTACTTTGCGACGTTATACAACATTGCTGGAGATTAGGTTCGCACTCGGGCGTCGCCCACCCATTTGCTCACCTACGATTTACTTTTAAGATGCGCAATTGCCAAGGAAAGACTAAAACATCACGAAGTTTGTATTTTGAGGAGAGGCGTAGAGACATACACGGATAGGTTTGGAACCAATGGACGGCACTACGCAGCCCAGAAGAAGCACCCCCCCCCAAAAAGTTGAAAAAGGAATTGGTGCACAACATGCATCACGCTAAAGTTTCCTTGGGTAGGCGCGTACATGTTGTTTTTAAATGGGTTCCACTATATGAAGGACAGGTCATGCAAAGTAAAAAAAAAATCAGTTCCTCATCTTAAGTTTAAACCTAAACCGACCAAATGGTGCATCAAGGTTACATTCTACTTAAAGTTCATTTAGTGTCATGGGTAGGCCATAACACTTGTCCGTTATAATATTTTTGAGAAAACTTGATAAACAGGATTATATTTTTCCTCATTTGCAACTCTACACCCTTGCGGCAAAGAGTTTTTTTTACTCAAAGGTGGTAACGTTTTGAAAACAACCACTGTGCGCAAAAAGGCCCCTCTCTGTCCTTCCGAAATGCTCGTTTAAATCTGCACACTTTGAGCTTCGCAAAGCGTAAACAGCTAAAACCTGTTGGGTGCTTTTTTTCCTCCCCTACACAAACCTCCGTGTATATTTTTTGAAAATCGTTCAAAATTGTTTTTTCCCTCGTGCAAGCTGCGCCCGTTAACAAGCAAGGCTCGAAACTAAAGTTTCAGAAATTAAGTAGTTTATTTTTTTTTACGACTTTCCTGCCAAAGCCTGCCTTCGTCAGCCAACACCGAGTAATGCGGGGTTCTAGCCAGAAACAAATGCAGCCTTACAGCAGCATCTGCGCAACTGGGACAGCCCAAGTCAACGCCAGGTCAATTTCCCACACATCAATTGTCCCCCTCTCATAATGAAATAAATTAACCACCAAAACCTGCCGCTAAGAAACCTGAAAAATGAGGACAAAGGGAAAAAAACCCAACCTTTTTTGTGATATCCTGAAGGTTTATATTCTTTTAAACCTATAATGAGGAACCTTTGTTGTGTATTCTAACGTATAATAGCAGCCGAATTGTAATTTACACTCTCGTGCCAAAATCGCAAATGCAGCGGCAACATTATTTTTTTTGTGGAGTGGATTTCAAACTCACCAGAGCGTGATCAAACTTGAATGTGCTGATATAGTAGGCCGAGATGTCTGCGTTGGCGAGCGGTTCCGATATCTGGGCCACGATGCCACACTCGTCTGCAAAAGTTAAAAACAAAAAACGCACGAACATTCGTTTTTGCTGCCACATGTGAATGTATAAGCGGCAAACGTACATTTGGCACCATAAAAAAAAATAGTTGGCGGCGCATCCTGTACGCGTGCGTTTGCCCGCGACAACAAGGCACAAACGGTTACGCAGAATCCCAACAGAGTTTCAACTGGGTCACATCCTAACGCAAAAGCTTTTAATTGCCCAAGAGAGGCCCGGTAAATTTGCTCAAGGCCATTAAAAGAATGACGTAACTTGTTTCAGATTTTTTTTTTAATGGGGGGGAATTCAAAGTTCTGTTAAAAAATAACTAAAAAATCTCAACGACTGCTCAAGGATATAATGTTCAGACGTGACACACGCTGGTATGATAAAAAAAACAGTCATCTTCAACAGGACTAGCTGTCCATTTGAACTATGTCACAGTTGATAATCCGTTCAGATGTCATCATAAAAGCAATGAAAGATTTACCGGCACAACACGCGTGTAGAATTGTACAACACAGTTGGGAGACAACGGGGTAATTTCCTACAAAAGCTTTTACACGCCTACAAAATAAGCATTATCACCGCTAGCATGCAAATATGCCGACTCATCGTCCGTTTAGACAGACGGAACAGCGCACACACGAGCGCGCTGTTGGTTTGCAGAAAACGCTCCAGATACAACATTTCCACTGCCCCCAGATGCAAACGAGGGCAATTGCACCCAATTACACGTGACCGAGTCGGGTGGAAAGCAATTTGTTCACTTGCGAAGGTGGATACATTACACCCCCCCCACCCCCAACAGTCTCGGTGACCTGCCATTAAATGTTCGCAAAATAAAAACCAAAAACATGTTTTTTTTTGTTACCCGGCGCTTGCAAGCTTATAAGGAGAGCACAGTTACGGACTTGTTACACACCCTGTGATGTGCAAAAATCCTTTTGCCCAATGCTAAACCCGGTAATGCAACCTTAATAGCTTGTTGACAAGACCATTTAATGAAGTGTTTTAAGAAGGCGGAGAGAAAAAAAAATCTTTGCAGACATTGCAGCAACAACACTTGAATGCCCCCCCACACCCCCCGCTAGACATTTAACTCTTGCAAACACAGCAAGTTGCAAAATGTGCCCTTTGAGCACAAGCAAACTACAAGGGGAAGGGGAGGGGATAGCCAACTTAATTCCACAAGGAGAACTGGAGAGAGAGGTGTCACTCGTGAGGCAGGCCACGAAGTTTTTAAAATTAATCCATCTTCCGTTAACTGTACAAGGCTCAAAATTAAATAACAGCAACATTCATCAAGACACTAATGTTTGTAGCTAGCAGTCAATCACGTAATGAGGTGCACGAGTGTCACTTGCTCGGCAAAATTGTTTAATATACGATGGCGCTTCCATAATTAAATGTACAAGAGGCGGGTGCATGAATGTGGATTACAATGAAGGGATGTTCGTTGCACGTATGTGTGTTGAACTTCTTTCGCATCGTACGTAGCCAACCGTGCTAATCGGAGGTGCGGGAAAGTGCATGAGGTTTGGAGTTTGGCAGACGGCGCTCAAACTTACCGAAACCCAGAGGCTGCCCGCCTATTCTCACCATCTTCCACACTTCCCCCGAGGCACTTGTGAACAGCAGGTTGTTCGGAAACCTACAGATTTTTTTTCACCAAACACGCACGAATCAAATTAACGCGTCAAAACCGAGCTCGCAGCATAATTTTGTCGCCGCACATGGCATCAGGAGAAATTTCCTGGCAATAACAAAGGGCTTGCCATGACTTTTAAAATCAATATTTTTTAAATGCTTCAAACTACGGCAAGACCTTAAAAACACAAGCATTTCCGCGAAATAACTACATCAACATAGCGTCGTCGCTGGTACTAGCGTTCGCTACAAACACCGTCTAAATTAGAAAATCTAAATTAAAAATAATCTATCACCTTTGTAGTGTGCGGGTATCCATGACCAGGGAGATGTAGCCCTCGATCAAGGAGAAGGAAAAAAACTTGATGAGTTCTCGATCTGCGTTGTCAGCCGTGGAGTCCTTGCCGCTGCAAAAAGGAACACGACAACCCTGTAAACAGCTTACTCCCGATTGTCGTCAGGGGGAGGCAAGGGGTGGGAGCGTAGAAAAAGTTGGCCTTAAGAAGATGAGTGGGAATAAAAAAAAAACAAGTTCTGTAGCACACCCACTCTAGAGTCAACACAGACGCCGGGTTTTACACGGAATACGGGAACAAGAACAGCGCCAGTACAGCAGTCACAGTAGTGGCGAGATGTTAACCACCTTGCCTGGTATACAGGAGGTCGTGGTTTCAATCCCATCCCTGACGCCTGCTGTATATATTTGGAGTTTGCATGTTCTCCCCGTGGTCGCGTGGATTTTTCTCCGGGTCCTCCGGTTTTTCACTCCACATTTAGAATCGACGTGCGTTTATAGATTATTTGGCTGCTGCTATATATTTCCACGTGATGATGAGCCACTTCGTTGAGATATCATTTGTGGCCAGGTCGCTTCTGAAAAAGAGCCATATAGCTCTGTGGGCCTTCTTGGTAAAATAAAAAAAGTTTAGTTCGGAAAAATAGCTTCGTTTACAGGCGCTGAACACAATTTAACTAAATTCTTTTGCACATTTTATGTCACTTCGCACTCGCGACTCAAGATGTAAACTTGAGTTCATAATTTTTTTTTATCGCAGGTGGTGACACCAGGCAAAATAACCAGACCAAAAAGCATTTCTTAAAAAAATTCGATTTCAATTGAGAACTCATTTCTTTAGAACTGCTTTTTAGTTTGTTGTTCATCCCCCCGGTACCTCTGATGAGCATAGTTGGTTACGTGCAGTGCGAAAAAAGTTAAACGTACACACACACACATACCCAATGCGAAGCGAAAACAGCCGGGCCTCATTTGCGTCCTGCCACGTACCTTCCCGAGTAGAACATGATGTCCATGAGAAGAGTTGTGATGAGTGGCAGAGTGGTGGGGTCGAGGCTCGTCACGCAGAACTGGTTAACGGGGCACGTCAGTGGGTGGATGACCGGCCTGCTCACTGCATGTCGGACGCACGGCAGGGGGGGGAACAAAACGCGAGAGGCTCGTACGAATGGAAAACGTTGGGCGTCCGTAAAGGATTAACGAAAAAATGTTACTTGCAAATTATCGAGAAAAATACGGAGACAACCCACCACTTTTAGGTTTCACGAAGCCGTTGACAATGACGGTGTCATCCAAAGCCACCACCTCGCCGTCAATCTCACGGAAAATGGCGAATTCCGTGGAGAGGGCATGCATCACGACCGGGAGGTCTCGCTCACGCACCTGCGTTTCGTACAAAAAAATATACCGATTAACATCCATCGTAAACGCGTGCTGTGCATTACAATTATGACTCAGAGGGGGGTGGAAGGAGGAGAAAATGTTTTTCAGGACAAGGCCACGCTGCTATTGCAGCCACTCGCACAGATTAGAGTGTTGACTTAAAATTATTCATTAAGGAAGCAACATCATTTTACGGGTCTCCGTTTGACACTTAACGCTTATTTCTTTTAGCGTAAACAACCCGATTCCTTCGGTTGCTTGATTGTGATCGACTGTTATCGGGCAACACATTCCCAACGTCATTCTGACTTGGGAGTGTTGAAGAAAATCGGCAGTCCTTTTAGTTTTCCGAAGAAGATGCCAAAGCCAGAGAGCAAATTGGGACATTGCCCTGACATGTGCAAAACTTGAGCGAAAATGTAATTTGGCACAAACACAGCGGTGAAACTCACACTAACTTACCTTTTGACACAAGCGCACTAAACATAAAAGGGAGCGAGCTGTTTTTTTTAACTTGTTTTTACAAAAGTCATGCCTCATACGCAAGACCTTTAAAACATTTTTTATGTATATTTTACATTATTGACATAAATGCAAGGACAGTGAAATGTTAATTAACGAAACGTAAGAATTCTGAGTCGGCCTTTTTAAGGTTACAACACCTACCATAAAAATAAAGCCGACACGTATTAATAGTCCTTATAAAAAGGTCACCACACTAAATCGTTGTCATTCATACTTAAAAACCAAAGCATTTTTCAATTCATCTGCTAAGAATGTCTAAAAAATATATATAAAAAATTCATATTATGCAAGACAACATGACGAGTTGTCAGGGAGCTGGTCAAAATCCAAGGGTCGTTTCCAGAACGAGAAAATGTGGCCAACGCACATTTCCATTTCTTCAATTGCACACATTCGGGAATACACCAACGTGTGGACGAGACAATGACCCAGTTGCAGAGCCAGACGACCGCAAAAACCTCGACTAATCCACCGACCCCCGTTTAACTTCGCGCAAGCCCAAGCAGGCAGGTGAGACGACTCCGTGTGTACGTATGTTCAACTTGTCGCACCGTACGTAGCCAACCCTGCCAAATCGGAGGTGCGGTACAGGGGGAGGTCAACAAACTACAGGACAAAGACTCGGCACTCTCGCTCGCTCACGCACGCACGCACAGCAATCTCACCAAGATGAAGTCGGTCTGGTACGTGGAGTACATGAACACGGAGACGTTGTGGTCGGCAAGCGGAGCGATGACGGACTTTGCGATCTTGGTGACGCCCACGGCCGGCGAGTTGGGGCTGTGTCCTCCGCCCGACACCACGTTGAGCGCCAGCCACGTGGCGTCCTCCACGCTGAGCCGCTCTGACACCGGCAGCTCTGTGCGTTTCCACGAGAGAATAAAAAACGTTAAAACCTGCGTTAAACAAAAAGTATAACTATTTCGGATGAAGACGACGACGACGGTTTGCTTGGTTGTAACCTTTTGACGAGTTCTCGTATTACCTCCGATTAGCATGGTTGGCTACGCACGGTGCGAAAGAAGTTCAACATACGTACAGACATCAGACAGCTGGAGTTTATCGCGACAAAAATAGTAAACGCTCCAAACCGTTGGACTCTTAAAACTGGAAAGCATTCATCATTGGAAAAAAAATTACAAAATCAAGTCAAAATTGGAATAAACATGTTGTACAGATTTAGTTTATCACCGGGCTCAAAAATACCATTGAAAAGCTCAGCTGGCTTCACGCCACGTCCAGGTTCAAATATAAACTCCTGAATAAAAAAAAAGAATCACTCCAGTCCTTGGCCACTCAAACCTCCCCCCCCCCATCCCAATATCCAAACGTGAATAAACACGTAAGATTCTTGCCAAGACCAATATATATTTGTTCCCTTCTGAGATTAAATCTGCCATTTACAAGCAACAAAAGACATACAATGAAAACCATTCACCCGATTATGCTCTAGCAATTAACAAGTAAACATTGGGGTTCAATTGCACGGTTCAAGACACTGTAAAAACGGGTCAGAATTTTTTTTACCCCTACAATCTATTGACAAAAAACACATCACAAATACAAAAGAAGGCAGTTGTTTTTGTTCAAACACCAAAAAGGTTTTCAGAAAAAAAATAACAATCCCCGCCGCTACCATCTGCAGGGCATATTCGGCAACGACCTCTGAGGCAACCTCCGATGCGGCGGTGCCGGTGATGTGCGCAGAGGTCGCAAACGGGTTTTGATTCCTTACCCGTACCCGTACCCGGCCGCACCAGGGTCGCAAACGAGTACCCATACCCGTACCCGGCCGGGTACGGGTACCCGTTCCCTACCCGTACCCGTACCCTACCAGAAATGAGTGACAAACGGTTACTCACCAGTGACTCACGGCCTACCCGTACCCGGCTGCACCAGGGTCGCAAACGGGTACCCGTACCCGGCTGGGTACGGGTACCGGCTGGGTACGGGTAAGCCAGGTATCGGGTAGGGTACAGGTATCGGGTACCCGGTTGCGACCTCTGTGTGCGAGTGAGAAAAAGGCTGGCTGGGGGGGGGGGGGTGCAAAATAGCTGGGGGAAAGAAAAAAATCATCCCTCCCCACTTTCTTTCTGCGCAGTAAAGTGGAGATCCCCTGGGCGCGCATGTGGCCACCAAACAAAGTGTCTGCCCGGCAACAGCGGAGATGCCACCAATTGACGGGAGCGCAAAAACCTCCCCCAGCTCGTCCTGGCCGCAACAAACAATTTAACAGTTCTTGATGTCTCCGCTGGGACGTGATTACTTAATTTTAATTAGTGGTGGCCGCGTTATAGCTATGCCAAGGGTAGAAACGAGCTCGCCTGTTAACCCCCACGTGATGTATTGCCCGTGACTGTTATAGGGAGCGGATTCTGGAAACACGATTGTATGTTTTTCGCTCGAATGCTGAACAGTGCTTAACGGAATAAAACAAATATAGCATTACAAAATTCCAGAATAAATTAAAATGTGAGGCAAGCCATTAAAAAGTCAAGCAACTAGACAAAAGAACACGCCGTGACAGTGATAGCGATGTATGAAAAATGGGTAAAAATAACACCCAACGATTTCTTAACATTAGGGTAGAATACCAAAAGGACTAATAACTAAAGGTGGAATTAATTACTTGAGCAGAAATTTGTAACGGTGCTTAAATAATTAATGGGCTCAGAGAGTGACTGCAACTGCGGTAATTAACACATTTGCCGAAATGTTTTAAATGTAATAATGCTAAAAGAATAATTGCATTGCCAATCAAAACCTTCATTATTTTGCGCAAAATTACATTTCAGGTTTTTAAAAACGGCAACACCCATTAAATATTCAAAACGGTGAAATCGGGCCCCACTAATTTCACAAACCTTCCACTGCTTAACAATTCAATGTGGGTGGGGGGGGCACTCCCAAGGATCTAAGAAGACACTATATAACAGTTCTGCCAACTGCACAACAAGCTGGTATTTATCCGAGATTTAAAAAAAACATACTTATCGAGCTATTGCATAAGCACGCTACCACACAGCTAAGCCCAACGTAATGTTGACTGTTCCAAGGCCTGGGCTAGCTTTAATAAATAGGAGCCGGTGGAGGCTACAACATAATGAAGAAAATAAAACAGGGATTTTTATAGTTATGCAAAACAAACCAAACCAACAACAACAACCAGCCACTACCATCCAATCGAATCTGAGAGCCTAAAAAAAACTGCTGGCTCTGCAAATCCGACAGTGGAAAGCCCTTGGAAACAAACCCAGCAGCCCTCTCCTTGTCGACGCTCTATTGGTCCACGGCAGCCAATCGCAAAGCCCGCAACAGCGTGCCTCCACAGCCAATCAAATCAACGGGCTCGCATTACACGTTTTATCAAGGACTCGATTGGCTACAGTCAAGAACAAAAATTGCACAAAACAAAAAATATAATCACATTTTATTAAGCGTACGTCCTCCCCGAGGCAGCAAGCTTCATTGGGGATATTCCACAAGAGTCGTTCGTTCAGATCAATTGGCCGTAGTACCCCATGTCACAGATCAGACGATTTGCAACACAATCATAAAAAGCACACACTTAGCAAGTGTAATGCATGACAAGAGTGTTACTTGCAAGGTACGCTTCTGTAATTATAATTTATAGATCAAGGAAGTGCCGAACAGAACGTACTATGACACGAACACAACAGGGTTGCCCTTTGCAACCCAAAGTCATCAAGGTCAACACAACATTCTTGGCACCAAGATGGCAAGATGTTAACTACCTCGCCTGCAATACAGGAGGTCGTGGGTTCGATCCCGACCCCGACGCCTGCTGCGTATTTGGGAGTTTGCATGTCTCTCCTCGTGGTTGCGTGGATTTTTCTCCGGGGCGTCCAGTTTTAACCCTCCACATTTAGAATCAACATCACACGTTTAGACTATTTGGCTGCTGCTATAGATTTCCACACGATAAGCCGCCACTTCGTTGAGCTATCATTTGTGGCGGACAGGTCGCTTCTGAAACAAGAGCTAGACAGCTCAGAGGGCCTTACCTGGTAAAATAAAAACTTGTTTAGTTTTAGTCGAGTTAAATTATATTTGCTTGTATACAATTCACAAACCCAAGACGCTATGGAGTACAGTAACAGCATTCTGCAGCGCTTATGTGCAACATTTAGCATTTTTAAAACGTGCCCAACGTTATTTATGAAAACAGATGTTGATTCTGAAACACAAGGACTATGTAAGCCATTATCAAGACTCAAACGTTTTTTTTTCTTTCCCACATGGAGATGAACAACTTCCAATTCCATCTTCCAGTTGTTGAAAATAATTCATCAGAGCAAGACTCCTCGAGTGGGGGGGCGGGGGAAATGAAATGTTTTGCGTGTAGAAAAATAATACATCGTGCTACAACCGCTAAAGTTTCGCTCGCAAAAAATAACTTTGAGCAGTTCCGTAACAGAGCAACGCAGTGAAACCTTTACCGATACGAGGGACGGACAGCGATTACCGATTTTTAAGAAAACATTTGTGCTTCCCAAGAAACATATACACTCCATACATATGAAGACCTAAATAGCTGCCTGGGGTAAAGTCTATAAATGTTTGGGGAAATGTGAGCGAGCGACTGCAAGCCGTGCATAACTAGGACACAAATAAACAGCGGTCTCCCTAGCGAAGGCAGCCCGGGCGATGCAAAACATCTTGAGGGTGGCGCTGAGCGTTTACCAATACACACAACACATAAATGAACAAGACCAGAACACCACTGACGTTAAAATTATATTCTAACATGGCAACTGCTTTAACGTGAACCATCTTGAAGCTTGATCGATGTAACTTTATTAATAACTCGGTCACAGCCCAACGACGCCAGAATTCTTTCTCGAGAGACATCAAACTACACTATAACCACCGCCCCCTTTAGAAACACCAAGTAGCGAATGGCAAGGATACACACACACACCCACTGCAACTTCACTCTATGTTGGTAGTTGTTGGTATGTTTCATAAGCAGAAGGGGGTGTATATATATGTCAAGATGGGTTAAATATAGACTACATTCAAAACTGTTAAGACTACAATTCAAATTCTTTTACTTTTTTCAGCAGAGCGAGCGTAGCAAACGCCGTTGCACTGTACTCAGCTACAAAATCTACGCTCCCCCACCTTCACCTCCCCCCCCGTGCTGGCAAGCGTGAAGTATGGTTAAACAACACCACCCACGGTGAGGGAGTAGGGGGGGCCCTCACCTTCAACAGCGATGTAAATGTGCAACAGATTCTATCAAACGATATGTTTGTATATATTATTTGCATATACCCACCTCCTCCCACCTTTTACCCACATTGCAGTAATTTTTTTATCGTAAATAAACAAACTAACGCGACAATTGATGATGAAAGTGCTTAGGATTGATTAGCCGCCGTCGTGTAAATTAATCAATCGCCTTCGAAAAGTCGCACGTCAATATGAACGCGTGCTTCTCTCGAGCGGGCCAAACGTGCAAGAAAAGAGCGCGCTGCTCCTTGCCAAGAGGAATGCTGTCGCCCGAAGGGGAAAACAAGAATCCCCTTCCACCCTTGCCTGCTCGCTGTGCCACCCGTGTAATAATGTAGCAGTGGCGACGGGAGTGGGCCAGGGTCGGGTTGGGGAGAGAATTGATGGCACAAGCACATTCCGTGTAAAGCCCCGAAAACCCCCCTCTCGCTTGCACTCTCTAACCCCAACCCACCCCACCGACCCCCCCAAACCCATCCACCCCACCCCTCCGGTTGCAGAGCAAGAATCTTCCCTTCAATCCTGAGAAGTGGAGAGGGCGGCTGATGCAACCAGTTCTGTGTATGTCACCCGTGTTAAGATATTATCGTCGTAGTAGTGACATCAGTGGTCGTAACCTTTTTAGGGTTTGATAATCACGAAGGAGGAGGAGGAGTTCCCGTGTTGAATAAATTGGTCGCGACACCGGAGAGAAAAAAAGACGGGACGATTACCATTTGGTATCTTACGCTACGGTTATGATGGATACCCCGCAGTGGGGGAGCGGGAGTGTGGGTTTAACTTGCCAAAAAAACAATTACATTAAGACGATTCCAAGAATAAAGGTGAAATGCGGGCAGTAAAAGAAAAGGCAAACATTTAGTTCAAATAAATAGTGCTACAAGCTTGGCTTTGTTAAAAAAAAATGGTTACCTTTAAATCCTTCTTCATCCACAATCATGGTGAAGTCGTCCGGTGTTTCCGTCAAACTGAAAAACTTACACCTGAAAGACACACGCACACATACACACACATAAATGCCAACACCTCATTAACAAAAAATGTGCCACTTCAATTACTTAATGTGACAATAGCACCAACTTAAATTTCCGCAACGACCGTAATTGACGGTCTGGACGTGAAACTACACAATGCATCAACGCACAGAAAACGCGTTATAAAATCAGACGGAACACGAACCATTAGGCGCACATCTTTAGTAACGAACTTATCAAAAACAGCTCGCGATGCGAGTTCAAGAACACTCCGATGAGCACAGCAAACAGAATAACCTTTCCCCAACACCACCTTCAATAAAAGTAGGTTTAAAAAAATCAGGATTATTAGAGCATCGAGTGCAACATATTTAGTAACCGAATGAAACTACCTAAAAATTTTTTCTATAAAAGCACCATGCAGCTGCTTTGTGGAATTTTAGAAAAGAATGCTCCATGTACAAAGCCCTTCTTATAGTGAAAAATTGTAGGAATGTATTCCGAACCACAAAAAAACAAACACGTACTTTGTAACACTTGGGAAACACGTACAGGTTATTACATCAGTAGCATACAGCGAGAAATACTTTTCTCCAGATGGAAAAAATAGCCTGCATAGCAGCAACCCCCCCCCCCCCATCTAACATTACAGCTATATATAGCTGCTTATTAGACTTGCTTATTAAAAACAACAGCACCCACTCCACGTATCTACAATTTAAGCTTCTGTTGAATTTAAACCACCACCTCTAATTTCTAACCGACCTCGACATCAAACTTGTATTAGGCTGCCAATCAAACGAACGTATCCATAATATTCCCGATGTCATGTTCAACTTCCTTGGGCTCACGGCACACAAGCTATTGCCGGCGGATTTGACATACATAGAAAACGAAGCCAAAGTGCAAATATTTATCTCCACACTATAAAACTTTAAATGTGTTTATCACGTAACAACCACCCCCCACCGCCCATCCTTCACATCACTGCAAGAATAAGGCATGCATCTCTTATAGCTTCAACAACAACAAAAACCCAGGGCTCAACTGCTGAAAGATATCACAGCGACAATAAACCAACCTCTTCCAATTGAAACAATCGGCGTGTTAGAGGTGTACATTGTTAGAGCAAAAAAAAAGTCAAACAAAGCAAAGCCCTTTATTACCTGCGTTGGTCATTGTCAATGTTTTCTCATTAATTGGGTGAAGATTACGTTAACATTTCAAGTATTGTTCCCGATCACCTCTACAAGGCTGCACATTTAATGAACCAATGGATTTACCAAGTTGACCGACCGAATACTTTAGCATGCGAATGGGGTTTTAAACCGACAAATATTTCCACTCACGTTCGCCTTGCAACAAGAAAAAAAAACTAAATTCGTGAACGACAATGAAAAATCGAACCTAAGGTGGTGAGCAGTCCGCAACTGGTCGGGAAATCTGGCTGCCAACTCAAAAAACGGAAAATCGACATTTGAAAAGTTGGCCAATGCGTGGAGACTCCACCTTTCCGACTCGGCAGCGAGGATAGCAAGCGGGTGAGTCGTCACACAAACATGCTTCCCAGATGCAAGTTAATGGTGGGGAGGGGGAAATAAAACAGACCTTTAATTTTTCACTCAATTTGTTGGATTTTGTAAATGTGACGGATTAGCTTTTAACCAGAAAAAAGCTGAAATTAATCCACATCACATGACGCGCTCTCTTGCTTTAAGGGACATACAAATAATATATTTGAAAGTAAAGCACGAACAGGGAAGATGACGAATGTAAGGGAATGTCTCTTAACGTCTTTTAAAATGTCAGCTGAAAGGTTGACTTTAATTTCCTGCCGTGGAACAATACTTTCTAAACGTATTTACTGCATACAGTACATAAATTAATCTGCACTTTGCTGTTGGAAGGGGAAAAAATATCTAAATCAAACTCTTACTCGGTGCAACGAGTATTCGTACTGTCATTGTCTACGTTGAGCTGCCAGCACGTAGAAATAAGCACTTTTTTTTAACGCAGACATCTAAATTGAGATTAACTCGAAAAATATATATGGGCAGAAGTCACGCTACCCACAAACACGCCCACACGGCGCTCGATGCGGCTATTTATTTTTTATTACTAAACATTGCTCATCTCGTGTGGGTTGTTGCTGGGGGAGAATTTTTTTTATGGTTCTACTTGCATTCTGCCTCGTCCATTGGCAGTCTTACCATCAATACACACACTGACCTATAACTTGCAAAAATACATTAACCGCCCCCCCCCCACGCGGTTAAAAGCCAGGTAAAGACACTGGGGGGCTGGATATGGGCAAAGAAGGCAGCGAGGAAGAAGATTCGTCGCTTGGTGGCCGGTGGAATTGATGGGGTTGCCACACGTGTGCCCAGTGGACTCATGCCCTCTGACCAGTCACCGTACAGGTCAAAGTTGCACCCCACCGACACCACCACCTTACGTTCTAATGCACCCCTTCTCTGCAAGCAATGCTTGCCACTGCCGCCCACTGGCATGCTGGGTTCAAAAGGCCAAGGCAGTGGGGGATTTAAAGTTGTGCCACAATTTCATGAATACTCTACACAGTACCTAACAACACAACAACAACCGTAGGAAGGAATAACAGCAGTTCTCATAACATGATTCGCTGGCATGTGAAATCTAAGGACATGTGTTGGCAGGAGTACACAAGGACAAATAACAAAAAACACGTCATTAATATTACTCAATAATATGACGCTGGCATGTCATTGACGAATGTGGCATTTTTGTTTTACCAGATCATTCACATAGCATCTTGTTGCAGCAGTAGCTGTGCAAGGGCTTTTGGTGGGTTGTTATTGAAGACCCTGGGGCCCTGCTTGAGAGGGTAGCCAACACCTTAGCTTAAAGAATTCCCTCCAGCATAAATATATATTCCGATTCAATGGCGCAAGTCCGGCATGAATCAAATGGCCGCAATTAACACATTATGGTGTATACCATTGTGATGTTTGTCTTACGTAGAACATTTGCATTTCACGGTGTTCCAAAGTTAATGATAGAACTCAACGCAAATATGGTACAATAATAAGTTGGGTTCTATGTCCCGGTGGGGGGGGGGGTTAAGTTGATTTAAGACCATGGCTAACATCAATGGTAAGTGACATTAACTGATCCTCGAACCTACCCTTCAAACCCACATTGACCAGCTAGGTGAAGTATGGTCAGATAACCATTCAGTAGCGGACTGAAAAACACCCGTACGGATTATTTCTCTTTATTGTTACAAGGTATGGGAATTCTACATTACTATGCAACGCTTGCAGGGTTACTACAAAACCAAACGTGACGTAGTTAATACGACACGTAAACGCAGCCACGGAAATCAATTTCACTGGAACTAAATGAACGCGATTGTGACCGCATAAACCCAATGGGGGTCGCGGTGTAACATTGTTTGGAAGTTAACCACGCAGACCCAATGCGGTTATAACGCGAGCAGCAGTGTACGTGAATGCAACCGGCAACAGCCCTATGCGGCTGTGACTTTTGAGAATGCGAATGACCGGCCGCTAAACGATTCGAGGTCGGTGTTCAGAGTCAGCGCGAGGTCAGGGCGGGGTGTGTAGGTGAAGAGTTCAGCAACAGGCCCGACATTTGCTGGATATTTAAGAGTTCTGGGCATAGGAAACGGTGGCCAAGCGGAGTGGTCGGAGTCAAGGGACCGGGCAGGACTTGTGGGGCCATTTTCTGGGACTCTGAAAAGCCGCTCCGAGTTCGATTCGCTGCTACGGCGAACAAAAAAAATCCCGCATTGACGAGCGTGGGGCGAAGTATGGTCGAACAAACCTTCTGGCCGACAACCCTGTGGAAGATGCCTTCAAGCAGCAGGTAATACCGTTAAGCATTGACAATAGGTCGGATGCGAATTTTTATGAGCTTTTTTTATGTTATACTCATAAACGGGGCAGGAGTTAGGGGGTGCAATCATTAATTATGTGCAGAGGTCGAGGCTTTGCCAACAGCTGTGCAGGGGTTAGGTCCCAGTTAAGCTTCTGGATGGTTCGGTATTTGTTAATGCAGGGGAGGGGGGGGGTTCTAAGCTCCGATTAGCGCCGCGGTTTGAGATCGACACCGATAAACGTTGCGGGTTTTTATGTTTTAAGTCAATAGCAGTTTGCCCGGCCAGTAACAATGATTCGTGGTGTGTTTTTTCGTGTGCGCTTGTTTGTTGGGTGACTCGGTACTGAGAAACTGTACAACAAAAAAATAAAATGGGTAGAAAATCATGATTAACATTGGTCGCGGTTTTGCAACACGCGCCAACGATTGCACTACCAGATTACTGGACACCTGTGCAAAAAGAGCTTTATCGCTCATCGGATTCCTCCAGTATCGACACACGTAAAATCCGATTTTGAGATTCGAAGAAGGCACGAGATTATGTAGTTTTTATCGGCTGCCGCGTGCTAATAAGATCGCGAATCGAAGCTGCAGCAAGCGCAATATGTAAGTGACTGCACCGCATTGCAAAAGGGGGGCATTGCAAGTTCCAATTAAGGTTCGAAGGCCAGGCACTAAGAAGTTAACTCCAAGGTACTGGGGGTCGCAGGAGATGGGTGAACAACGCGTGATGAGATAGGCACTGTTCCTTTAATTAATTTTCACTGGGGCATTTAACAAGTTCCGTTAAGGTTTTTGCGGCCCGTATTCGGTGCAAGCGTTGCATCACGGTGCAAGTGACACGTCCAAGTTATCCTTTATCGAATTGACGGAGTTTGCGTCACAGGTTGAATACGGTAACCAAAATGCAGACCGTTAAATGCCCGGGATTTTAAAACAAGTTTTCCGGTATCCCCTTTGTCTCACCGGGGTCCCCATATTTCACTGGGGGCACGTGTACCCCCCCCAACCCCACCCTGTGTCCCACCCGAGGCACGTGTAACGCCACCATGTACCCGTGTCTCACCGTGTCGCCCCCACGTGTCTCACCGGGTACCCGTCTCAACGCCCCCCTGTGTTCTACCGGGAACCCGTGTCACCCCCCGTGTGCCCGTGTCCCACCGGGTCCCCGTGTCTCCCGGTGTCTCACCGTGTGTCTCCCCCCCACGTGTCTCCCTCCCCCCTTGTCTCACCGTGTCTCCCGGTGTCTCACCGTGTCTCCCCCCCCCACGTGTCTCCCCCTCCACGTGTCTCACCGTGTCTCCCCCCCCCCCACGTGTCTCCCCCTCCACGTGTCTCACCGTGTCTCCCCCCCACGTGTCTCCCGGTGTCTCACCGTGTCTCCACCCCCCCCCCCCCCCACGTGTCTCCCCCCCCCCCCCGTGTCTCACAGTGTCTCCCCGTGTCTCCCCGTGTCTCCCGGTGTCTCACCGTGTCTCCCCCCCCCCCCCCCGTGTCTCCCGGTGTCTCACGCACCGTCTCCCCCTCCCCCCCGCGTCTCCCGGTGTCTCACTCACCGTGTCTCCCCCCCCCCCCCGTGTCTCCCGGTGTCTCACTCACCGTGTCTCCCCCCCCCCCCGTGTCTCACTCACCGTGTCTCCCGGTGTCTCACCGTGTCTCCCCCCCCCCACGTGTCTCCCCCTCCACGTGTCTCACCGTGTCTCCCCCCCCCCACGTGTCTCCCGGTGTCTCACCGGGTCTCCACCCCCCCCCCCCCCACGTGTCTCCCCCCCCCCGTGTCTCACAGTGTCTCCCCGTGTCTCATCGTGTCTCCCGGTGTCTCCCAGTGTCTCACCGTGTCCCCCCCCCCCCCCGTGTCTCCCGGTGTCTCACTCACCGTGTCTCCCCCCCCCCGTGTCTCCCGGTGTCTCACTCACCGTGTCTCCCCCCCCTCGTGTCTCCCGGTGTCTCACTCACCGTGTCTCCCCCCCCCCCCCCGTGTCTCCCGGTGTCTCACTCACCGTGTCTCCCCCCCCGTGTCTCCCGGTGTCTCACTCACCGTGTCTCCCCCCCCCCCCCCATGTCTCCCGGTGTCTCACTCACCGTGTCTCCCCCCCCCCCGTGTCTCCCGGTGTCTCACTCACCGTGTCTCCCCCCCCCGTGTCTCCCGGTGTCTCACTCACCGTGTCTCCCCCCCGTGTCTCCCGGTGTCTCACTCACCGTGTCTCCCCCCCCGTGTCCTCCCGGTGTCTCACTCACCGTGTCTCCCCCCCCCCCCCCATGTCTCCCGGTGTCTCACTCACCGTGTCTCCCCCCCCCCGTGTCTCCCGGTGTCTCACTCACCGTGTCTCCCCCCCCGTGTCTCCCGGTGTCTCACTCACCGTGTCTCCCCCCCCCCCGTGTCTCCCGGTGTCTCACTCACCGAGTGCGATCGGTGAGGAAGGCGAGCTTGACGAGCCCGTGAGTGAACAGCGGAAGACTCTCCCGGGCGATGCTCGCGATCTTCAGACGATGTTCGAGAATGTGCAGCTCCATAACTAACGACGAGGAGGACGAGGACGACGATGATGACGAGTAGGAGGATGAAGATCTAATGCGTGCCGACTGCAAGCCCAACAACAAAACAAGAAAAACAACCCAGTGGGCATCACGAACCCGGCAGCTACCGCACAACAGCACGGGTTGGCATCACAAAAGAAACGCAATTCGTTAACAGCTTAAATCACAATGTGCAATGTTTAACAAAGTGCAGTCCATACCTCGCCGGGGAGGAGGAGGGGGGGGGTAGAGACGGTAGCAGCTCCACTAACAGCGCGATTCGGCGGCGTGAGATACTCACAAACAAGGTTCGTGAAATTTTAATATTTTAAACAAATTTCGCTTCGCAACGACTACTACAAAAAAAACAATTACTTCAATCGTCCTAACCTCGTCCTCGTCGTCAAGCACTTTGCTGGGTCCGCCGTTCGAATAGCTTTAGGGGGGGGGGGTTAGCAGGCTTTAGTCTTTGTTGGTTGTCTCTGCGTCGTTGTTGTTGATGAGCTGTTGATGAGATGCTGATGAGCTCTGCCAAGAGCGCCGCTCCACTCTGCTGGAGGCTGCGAGCGGAGCGCCGAGAAAAACAACTTGGGGCCGAGGGGCGGGGCCCGCGAGGGGGCGAGGGGGCGGAGCTTAGTGGTGAGGGGGAGGAGCTTGGTGGTGAGGGGGAGGAGCTTGGTGGTGAGGGGGCGGAGCTTGGTGGTGAAGGGGAGGAGCTTGGTGGTGAGGGGGCGGAGCTTGGTGGTGAGTGGGCGGGGCTTGGCGGTGAGGGGGCGGAGCTTGGTGGTGATGGGGCGGGGCTTGGTGGTGAGGGGGAGGAGATTGGTGGTGAGGGGGAGGAGCTTGGTGGTGAGGGGGCGGAGCTTGGTGGTGAGGGGGCGGGGCGTTCTTCATCAGGAGGTCTTCGCTAACAGCACTTGCCCCCCGAGTCTGTCGAGGCTATACTGTGGCTGGTGGGTGTGGGGGTATCCTTGGTCTTTGTAGTGTTCGCGGGTTAGAGGCGCTGTGGCCACGAAAGCGGCTTCCCGAGTTCGATTCCCCCCGCCCGCCCGCCCCGGACCGCTCACGGCCGCCCAACACCGGGGGTGGGCCTCCACCTAAGTTGGCTCAGACTCAAATGAGTAACATGGTGCGGTGTGTAAACATCACTCAATCAATGTGGGGGGATGGGAGACAAAGGCGGCCGGGAGTGGTGTTGGCCACCCACCCCCTCCCTCGTTGTTGTGCCGTTGCGGTCTTCATAGGTGCTTGCTAACAGCACTTGCCCCAACAGTTTGTCAAGGCTACACGGGGGATCTTTGTCTTTGGTTTGGGTGGGAGGAGGGTGGAGCGAGCCAGCTGCTGCGAGTGTCCGAAGGGGCGGAGCTTCACAAGAGGGGGGCGTGGTCTGCGTGGGGGCTAGTGGGGGGGTGCGAGGGAGGGGCTAGCGGGGGGGGGGGCAACAGCAGCAGCTGCTGCTGTTGCTCCACCGCTCCTGCCTTTTTGATTGGACCACACGGCGAGCTCGGCCGTACGTCATCATCGCGGTGACGTCACGTCCGCGGGTGTCGGAGGTGCGGTGGCGGTGAGGGGGTTGGGCTGGGGGGGTGGGGTGAGGGGGTTGGGCTGGGGGGGGTGAGGTGAGGGGGCGGTGTTAAAATGTTGTTTTTTTGGAGGGGAGGGGGGAATAGTTGGGGGGGGGACGAGGGGGGGGGCTAGTGGGGTAATACGAATGAGGGCGTGGTCACTGTGGAGGAGGCGTGGTCACCAGCGTTGTGGGCGTGGTCACGCGCGAGGTGGGGAGGGGTGGGGGCTGCAAGGGCGCGCGGTCATTCGAGGTGAGACGCCCACAATGTTTTTTGCTCTTCAGATTTTGCGCACTGTATTACTAAATGGGGGTTGCGAGTTTTAGCAGAAAGTTGATAGAGAGACACGTAGGTAAAAAAATTAAAATTAATAAAAGTAAAATAAAAAATAAAATAAAAATCACGACGTTTGGGAGGCAACACAAGCCTCCGTCTTCAGGTGGAACCGTCACAGCACGATAGCTGTATCAAAGTGACTTTACCGAAAAAACCTGAGAATATGAATCCTTGCAGTCACGAAAGCTTTAAATCTAGAATTGATAGAGAGAGTTAAAAAATGTACGACTGCAAGTGTGGCTTTAAAAAAAAAACATGCTGCAGGGATTGAGCGAAGAGGTTGTTTATTTTGAGGGTGAGTGGTGGTTGGTTGAAGGAGGGGTTTGGAATTCAGCTGTTTTTGGGATGGGAGATTTTTTGTTGTTGTCCTTTTAAGCCAAAAATATTCCTCCAACTTAGAATCGTAGCTTTTTTTTGTCACTTCATATACCAAGTGACGGCCCGCCGCAGTTCGGTTACCTAATGGTGGGTGTAGCAGTTGTTTTCTGTCAAGGGATGTGTCCGTGATCTCTATCTGATGTCTTGTTAGTTTGCTTTGCAGCATTAAACTTGTACCTTACCAACACCATACCCAGTGCTTGCGTGGTCAGCACGAGCAAGGAATAGAGGCTAACTCTCCAGCCACCACTGACTGAACCCGAGCAGATGCTAAGTCTGGCTCTATGAGCCTCTTGAATGAACACTTTATCCTTTAATTGCATTAGTCTGGCTCTGTGAGTCACATATATTAACACTGAATATAGTTGGGGCGCCACAACGGCGAGATGTTAACTACCTCGCTGATATACAGGAGGTCGTGGATTCGATCCCGACCCTGACGCCTGCTGCTGTATATTTGGAGTTTGCGTGTCTCTCTCACCATCATCATCACGGTGGCTAGGAGATGTTAACTGCCTCGCCTGGTATACAGGAGGTCGTGGGTTCGATCCCGACCCTGACGCCTGCTGTATATTTGGAGTTTGCGTGTCTCTCTATCATCATGATGGCTAGGAGATGTTAACTACCTCGCCTGGTATACAGATCGTGGGTTCGATCCCGACCCTGACGCCTGCTGCTGTATATTTGGAGTTTGCGTGTCTCTCCCCGTGGTGGCGTGAACATTTTCTCCGGGTCCTCCGGTTTTTCCCTGTACACCTAGAAACGTGCATTTAGACTTTAGAGTATATAATTTGTCTGCTCTCTATTTACACGCGACGATAAGCCACTTCATTGGGCTATCATTTGTGGCTAGAAAAAAGAGCTATCATAGCTCAGTGGGTCTTACCTGTCAAAAAAAAAGTATAGTTTTAGTATCGTAGTGTGGTTGGCATGGGCCCTGGTGCAAGGAATTCAATGCCCCCCCCCCCCCCCCCGCTAACCACTGACCCCACTCCCACCACCTATCCATCACCCCCCCCCCCCGCCCTCTTTGTAGTTCAGCGCTGACCCTATGAACTATATTCTGATTCTGACCACAAGTGGAAATCAACAAACAAGCGGAGGCCCGACGCAATGGCACCGCCTGCACTCTCGACAGATGTGTCCGCTCAATGACTAGACAGCAGATCCGGTGCCTTGCCGTTCCAAATTCAGTATACGCGACTCTTATCTTCCCACGAGCTCTCATCTGCTCCCAATATAAATGACAAGCAGCGGTATGATCGTTCATGCCGAGGAGGCTACAAAAATATCGTGAGAGAAAAAAACCTGGAGGCAGTTTAAACCAACTTCTTCCATGACGTGCGCTTTTGTCACTTATAATTGGACGCACAAATAAGTCAACCTTGTACATCGTTGCATTGTTTTTGGTTTAACTTAAAAGTGCGACAGCTAGCATAATCTGCTGCGTGTTTACGGACTTTAAAAGAGTACACGTTAGATAAAAAAAAAACGGCCAGCTTGTTTTTGAATGTTGTTTTTGAACCCTCTTCAAACCGTAAATACATATTTTATATTTGCCAAGAAAAACAAGACATTTTCAAGGTTAAGGGCATTGCTACCCCCCGAGCAATCGTGCAATGCCCCCTACACAAACATGAATGCCCTTTACCACCCCACCACTACTTTATAATAAATTAATCACTGCCCCCCTTTCCCAGTCTAATCAATAAACACATTCCTGCGGAGGGAGCTGGTAGGAACGTTGGGTTGCTCGGTCAATGGCCAGGGTCAACGGCGACGTGGTGTTTTCCGCAAATATACCCGACTGTGAGGGCGGGCACAAGCCGGCGTGAGTAGGTTAAACGTTGAGTTTTATAAGGGCACCACGGGGTGACCAGTCCCTCCCCACCCAGCCCCACCCCTCCCACCCCCCACCCAGCCCCTCCCCTCCCCACCCAGCCCCACCCCTCCCATTTTTGGATGCACGACGGACGGACGGACACAATAATCCCCTGTGGGCTGGTGTAACCAGGAGGTTCCTACCAGTATAACCCGGGCCTGCCGTCCTCCCGCACACCCTCCCTTCGGTGGGGTTAGGTCTACTAACCACTGCGCCACCGACCCGCACTGACAACCGTGGTGAAGTATGCTCAAAGTTGACCAAACATAGCGTGGGGGGCAGGACCTCGTCCATCGGTCGATCGAGAATGATTGCGTTGGTTTGTTTTTTTCCTTCAAAGTTCCGACCGCATTATTCCGACGTGAGGAATGCAACCACCAATTCAGCGGTGTACTCTTAAATCTGTCCAGGCCCTACACGGATCCTGCAGTGGCGTCTGTCAGCCCCGCATTCATCTCCACCCCCACCAAATCCAAATACTCGTCGAGCTTTGACCATGCCAAGGAATGATGACTGCTGCACCACCACCAATCTAAACATTTCCCCGGTAATAGACTGCCCTTTGCCAATCCTGCAATCATCATCCTCATCATCAGCCATGGTCAATCCACTGCTGGATGAAGGCTCCCCCCCCTCCCCAAGCCGTCACCATCTCTCATGATCCTGCCCTGTTGAAGCAGTAACAATAATATTATACACTGCCTGCAAATCTGTTGATTACACCCTGAAACGCCCGATAACAAGAATATTTAAGGCGATGAACCTTAACAATCCCCCCCCCCCATGACCCACTTATCCATACCCATTGCCGAACTTATCAAAACCAGCTTAAAAACACCCACCACGTCTTCTACATTGCCCCCGAATAGTAAAGCAAGTGCCAATCCACCCCTCCACCCGCTATGACGGGCACACAGCAGCCAGCCAACTCTGCCCCCCAAACACACGGCGACAGATCCACCACAATGCGCTAACCTCGCTCTCTCCAACCAACACAACAACACTGTACCACCACAACAACACTGCACCCCCACACAACAACACTGCACCACCACACAACAGCACTGCACAACAACACTGCACCCCCACACGCCACAAATCAGCACTACACCCCCACACGCCACACAACAACACTGCACCCCCACACAACAACACTGCACCCACACACAACAACACTGCACCCCCACACAACAACACTGCACCCCCACACAACAGCACTGCACCCCCACAGATCAACACTGCACCCCCACACGCCACACAACAACACTTCACCCCCCACAGCACAACACTGCACCACCACACAACAACACTGCACCCCCACACAACAACACTGCACCCACACACAACAACACTGCACCCCCACACAACAACACTGCACCCCCAC